AAAAGATAAGATATATGTTTGGGATTACAAAGAAGTTCAAAAAGAAGTTCAGAAAGAACAAACAACATTCAAAAGCAGAGAAATTGAGAACACATAGGAAACAACATTGAAAACATTCAAAAGCAAATAACTGTTGGAATTTAGCAAAAATAGTCCCAGCAGAGATCGTCTGCACCAAGTTGTTCAAACATATGGACAATTTTCTCCCAAACCATTGGATTCAACCACTCGGGCTTATCGTAACCGAAGATCCAGCACTTCCTAATCCTACGCATCTGCGACATGAAAATGCAACTCGCATCTTTATTAAAGTGTTTCCAAATGATTAACGTTTGCCTTGGATCCCAGTTGTATTGGCGCTACATAAAAGAAACAAAAATTAGGCGAAGAGAAAAGAACCATATGAATGAAAATGCTTTAAACGTGGTGCTTACCAGTAGCATCTTAAACCAATGTATCTTGAAGCGGGCGGGAATCAAGCGATAAGTCGGCCACTCGTGGTGCCAGTTCTGACAAATTATAGGCTCGATCGCTTCACCCATTATTATATGGAACTCTCTCCATCTCGTTGTTTTTTTTTTGTCAACGAAAGAATCATATAAACCCGGACCAGGGTATAGAACGGGAAGATCATCCCGACCAGGTCCGGCAAGAATCGCGTTAATCTCTGTAAAAACATGTCATGGCATATGATGATTGTCTTCCATACTGATGAAAGTTGAAATGAATGAGAAAAAGATTTTTGGTAAAAGAAAACTGATATATAAAGGGAGGATCAGATGAGAGAGATAAAGGAAGAAGACGGAAAGTTGCGTTGGTTAATGTGATGGCTGAGTTATCGTACGGGAAACGAAGACGAAAGGTCGCGTTACGGCTGAGTTATCTGTAACCTATTGGGCTGAGATATCGGTAACCTTATACGGCTGAGTTATCAGTAACATGAATATACTCCGTATGCTGAGTTATGTTACGGCTGAGTTATCATTTTATAGAAGACGAAAGGTCGCGTTACGGCTGAGTTATCGTACGGGAGAAAGACGAAAGGTCGCGTTACATCTGAGTTAAATATATGTTATGGCTGAGTTATCATAATAGTCTAGAAATATGGATTACATAAAACAAACATTGTCTACACATAATCAAAAAACGAGAAAATCCATGTCAACAACATACCAACGATACTACTTCCGACAAGTTTTTGCATTATGCCCAACTTCTTTACATCGAGAACATGCGTGTGGTTTCCTCGGGCGTTTATTCTCAAGTGCAATTTCCACAGTTGATTTAATCCTGCTTTGCTCCGGCCTTCCTGGCTGGGTTACAACGATCGGAGGCACGCACAGTTGGTTAGTTACAATTTCAGGAACCGGGAGTGCAGTATCCGGAGGTGAGATTGAATCAGCGTACGCGTTAACCAAATAATTGCTCCGGTAGTTCGGATCGGCCAGTGAAATACGAGACACACCCATATGCTCTGCAGCTGCGATTGCATGGACGCATGGTATTTTCTCGTGCTCAAAACGGCGGCTTGTACATCTTTTTGCATCCAAATTTACAACATGCAAAGATGTTCCATATTGTATTTGTACACGTAAAGCATAATCGGTTGTACTTCAAAAAGTCTTGATGCAGTTACACGACCCTATTAGAGGGAAGAACAAAACATAAAAGTTACGGCTGAGTTATAAAATAATATAAACATGTTATAGCTTAACTATATAAATAACGACTGAGTTATAATCATGTTATGGCTTAGTTATATAAACAACAACTGAGTTATAATCATGTTATGGCTTAGTTATATAAATAACGACTGAGTTTTAAGCTAGTAATGGCTCACTTATGTAACGTGATCAGTTACCTCTAACAGTTTTTCAACACCTCGTGAGAGCGTTGTTAGCTGTGATTTCGCATCCTCTCTCCGTTCAGCAAACCATCTAGTCATCATATTCCGTATGGATTCTAACAGTCGAACTATGGGAAGACTTCTACTATTTGATAGTGCTTTGTTCATAGATTCCGCAATGTGCGAAGTCATTAGGTTGTACCTTTCACCCGGGAAATGAACACGCGCCCACATTTGCACCCCAACTCTTTGGAGATATCCATGTAGTTCAGGATGAAGCGCGTCAATCTCATTGAATGCTTCTGTAAAATCAACCATCCGAAAACACCTAGCCGCTTTTTTCACAAGTGGGAACAAATGTTTCCCTTTGAATTTCACCAATATGTTCTTGTACAAATGATAAGTGCAAATTCCACGAGAAGCCAATGGATACACTTCACCAATTGCTTTCCTTATTGACTTATGTCTGTCCGAGATGATCGCAAGATTCCTCTCGTCTGGAATAGCAACTTTGAGTTGCGTAAAAAACCAACGCCAAGAATCATCATTTTTAGTGTCAACAACTGTGAAAGCTATTGGGAAAATTTGGAAATTTCCATCCTGAGCTAGGGCTGTTAGAAGCGTCCCTTTGTAACTACCGTGGAGAAATGTACCATCCACAACAACAACTTTCCGCATGTAAGCAAACCCAGCAACACTCGCACCAAAAGCAATGAAGACATACTTGAATCTGTCACACTCATCAATTTGAAGACGCGTTATTGTACCCGGATTTGCCCGTCTTATCCTGTATAGGTAGGAAGGCAATTATCCAAAACTTCCCTCAGGAGTTCCCATATCGATCTGTCTTGCAAACCTTAGCGTCTTATATGACTTCCAATAATCCATGTTGGCACCAATATAAAAATAAGTCAGCCGTAACTATATATAAGTCAAATGAAAACTTAGGCGTATCGTAATGATAACTCAGCCGTAACTATATATAAGTCAGCCGACACATAAATGAAAACTCAGCCGTATCGTAATGATAACTCAGCCGTAAAGGAAAGAAAACTCAACGAAACTCAGCCGTATCGTAATGAGAACTCAGCCATAAATAAACGAAAACTCAGCCGTGACTCAAATTTAAATCAGCCGTGACATTGTAATTACCTTTATGCTAAAATGATTACTGATGATTATTCCAACACTTTTAGGTTTAACTAACGGACCAATGTCACCAAGAAAGTCCCTGTAAAGAGGTCCCAAAACATCAGGTGTAGATTGTTTGGATCGATTAGATCTCTCCGTCACAGAACATGTGTGTACCGAATCGTATATACGAACAACAAAACCAGGCTCATCTCCTTCTTGAGATGCACGAACTCTCCAAAGACATCCTTCAACCCAGCACTTAATATTCACTACAGTCGTATTTGATTTTGGTACTGAAAACTCAAATCCATCTCTCACTGCAAGAAGTTTCACTCGTTTCTCCAACTCGTCTTTGTTCGCGTATCGTTGTCCTACGATGAGGTTTAGCTTAGCCATCTCCACCGTTAAAGACTCCGAGTTCCCAATCGATCCTACTTTGCCAAAGTAATGACCTCTGTTTTGAGTAGCAGCCGGTAAATCTTCATCTTTCTCCTCACGCTCGCCGTATATAGTAAAGTTATCATCATCAGATGACGCACCATCGGAGTCGTCGAAACCGTCAAATCGGGTTGAAAACTCGTCATCTTCTTCTTTATCCTCTGATTCGTACTCTGCTTCATCTTTCTTTGGCTTCATCTTCTACGTTTTCACTATAATCATAACATAACCCATCAAATCCTCTTGCGTCTTCATATGTATATTCTACTTCTGAAGCCGAACTGCGTGGCCGTTTCGTCCTTGGATTCGATCCGTCCTTCATCTTCGCGAACTCAACACAAAGTCGTGGCTGATCGATTGTCAACAAGCTTAGATAATTCTGCAACTGTCGATCGTTCGAGACATATACTAGGGGAGTATCATGCGACATATGTTTCATATGTTTGTATGAGAGCATGTAGCTCATCGTCACCTTGTGGCTGAGTTGATGCAGTCCGTAGTCATCAAGAACCAATTTCACTAGCTTCTCGTGCGTTGTTTCCGCATCTATTTGCACAATTCTACAACCTCTATTGATATGATCGTGGCTAGCACGGAGCAAGAGGCTACAGAGAAACCGGAGATGGTGGGAAGGATCACTCGTTCAAGAGCTAAGGAGATGGCCAAGGAAGCACACACATTCATAGCTGACGGGTCATTCAACCTACCAAGGATCCAAGTCTTCAACATATCTAACCTGAAGACTTCACCCGGTGATGAGGACTAGGTAACTTAGGTGAGAAGTTTGTACTCTTTTTCCCATAGCTGAGTTTTGTCCCAATGGGTTTTCTCAGCATGGTTTTTAATGAGGCAAGTGGATCACTACGTCGAGTTATCTAGAAATCATTACCAAAGGGGAATAATGTACTTCTGTACTACTACAGGTCGTCAAGCTTCTGTACTAGTTCAGCCG